TATAAAGTTAAAATCATAAATAATATTCAATGTTAAACTGGTACACAATTAAAATTGTGTACCAGTTTAACGTTGAATATTATTTATGATTTTAACTTTATACACAAGTGCCAAAATACTATAATTAAAGTTTAAATAGTTATTTTCCAAAACTCAAAATCTACCAACATATGCACACACTCATCAATAGGGATCCAGTACTTTTTTTTATAAATTAAAAACTGCTTAAAAGTGTATATTTATGTAGTTTAAAGAAAACTATTAATTTTTTATATTAAATCTTCAAACCAATAGTTTGACTTTGAAATTACTCATGTGAGTGTTTTGTTCTCTAGTTTATTATCATAGATAGGCTTACTTTAGATTTCCAATTTATATACATACACATGTATTTCCTGCATTTACGATTGATACTGACTTTCTATAGGATAACCAAGGACCTCCCAACAGTGTTGAGCCTGACCCTGCAATTCTCTCTTTTGTCGAAAAGAGAAAGAAGTTTGAACAGGCTGCATCTGCATCCCCGTCACCACCACCCCTGCCTAGTGACAGAAAATTTTCTCATCATGTATCAGGACTTGAAACACAACAACAAGACGGTCCAGGTTTGTAACCTTTTAAACTAATCAATCAATCATAGTGGTTAATGTGCCCAGATGGTTCAGTTGTTGCAAAAATACACTCCACGCTGTTCAATCAAACAAGAATAGACCAAGGGTTGGCGGTGGGTGCTCTTAACTACTCACCTTGCCTCTAGTCTATCAATTAAAAATTAAGAATGGCTATGCACAGATAGCCCTTGTGTAGTTTTGTGCAAAATTGTGAAGGAAAACAAACTTTACTAATCGAAAAGCTTCAAAACAGATTATTTTCAAACTGTTATTTGAATTTGATTTAGTTGTTTTATGATAGTCATATTTTATGCCTTATAGGCTCTTGCCAGTCACCAAATATCAAAATAAAACGTTAGTAAGAATAATGTGGATATAACTTTTCTGTTGTAGAAAGTTAATATTTCCTAACTGTACAGTGTCATCAATTGGATTATACTTGTATTAGGTTTACGTATAGTAAAATGATTATTGAATTTATAAAAATACAGAAAGGTATTATTAGTATGTGTAGTTTTATGCATACATAACTTACTATTAGATTTAATTTAGATAAATCCTAAAGAACTACCACCAAAAAGTTAATACACATAATTGCAGCCATGAACATATGTGTAGTACAGAATTGAAGAAAAACAAGACACAAATACATCATTTATTACGACCATATTTTCGCCAGTAAAGACAAAACCATGGTCGTAATAAATTATGTACTTGTGAAATGTACAATTGTCTTGTTTTTCCTCAATTCTGTAATTATGGAGTTTCACCAAGAATTGACAGCTTCAAGTATTAATTATATATATGTGTAGTACGTGAATGTGTATATCTTCAGAATAACATTATATCTTATGAATTCAATCAACATGTTAGGATTCTAATTCAATGACAAGGAACCCACTTTGAGACTAATAATGGTTGGAGATGGCTTGAATGGGTAATGAAGAAAAACGTTAATATAAGTTTAACATAACAGCAAATGTACAAAGTTTCGACAAGGTTTTGATGATGACTCGTATGAGCATTTTTTGAGATGCAAAGAAAATGTAATTGTTCAGTTTTAAACTTGGACTGTTTCTTTTATTCTTATCAAGAGTAAGTCCTCATCAACCTGAAACATGTTTTCCTTCATATTCATTGTACAGAAACTGTTATTTCAATAGTGATAAATATACTAAAATTATAGCATTATTATTATTTTTGAATTATGACCCATGCAATGTTTGAGACACACGAATAAAAATTGTTATAACAATCAACAATTTTACACTATATTTTTTTGTTTCCATTACCTGCTGTGTTGGTATTTTATATACATTGAACTGTGAGAAGAGATTCACTAAGTTAAATTTTGTTTTATCTTTCAGGACCTTCTGTTGTGATGTTATTTGAAAGTGTAATCTGATTTGTAAATTCTAAAGAAGCTTACTTTTAAAGTCATTCACTACAGTTTTGTGTAATAACTGTTTACCCAGTAGTTTTAAGATGTAGAATATTTCATGAATGCCCTTTTTGATGTAGAACACACACTACCACCACCAACAGAGCAACCTGACCAAACTGTACAAGAGATTAAATGTGTAAATAGTACACAATCTGCAGAATTCTCCAGCAATCATAAAGAAGGATTATTTGGTCAAAATGGAGACAACAATGAACAGAAAGACAACAGGTATCCTCTACATTTACTAGCTAACCTTATATACAAGATCACTTTGCAAGACCTTAGATGTAGAAATTTAAATTAGATGCCTTAGTTGTGCAAGAAACGTAACAGGAGCTCAGATTGAAGTGTTGGCTAGATGATGTGAGAAGGTAATAAAAGATATTGTGTATAAATTGTTCATTGGCTAGATGGCGTTAGGGTGTAGAAACTGTTTGTATTGCAAAACTGTTTAGACAGTACATTATGTGTACTGTAAGATAGGAAGTATTTCTGTTAAATAAACCAGAAGACTGCTAGTTTTTGTGTCATACAGTCCACTGGATGATACATGTAACGTATTAGAAGGTAGCAAGTGCTTATGTAGGTTGCCTAACCTTTGACCAACCAAGGGCCACACGATAAGTAACGAAAACACTCGAGAACCAATTTTGTTATCTGATTCAAATACATATTTATCACTCTATGAGTATTTAATTAAGGATGTGATACTGAACCTTGTTTAGTGATTAATGCAATGTTGGAGCCAGGGTAAAGTTACTTCAAGTGGAGTTGGACAACATTGTATTTGGTGAAGTTGACAAGCTCATGTGATACAGTGCACATTAAGTAAAGAACTTGGTTTGCTGATAACACCAAAATGCATCGTAAGTGTGTTTAAAAGGTAGTGTTTATACTATGTCGTGATCAGAGGAAACTTTGTGTAAAAAGTAGAAATTGCTTGTGTTACAGTATTAAGAACTGGAGTTATTAAGTTAGGGCTATTTTGTAAAAACTATAAATTCACAATGAATATATATACTGGTTCAGTGTCTTGAAGTAATTATTGGATTCTTCTTATCCACGGATTTAATTGTAATTTAATTTTTTATACTATTTATGATATATATGCACTTTCAAAAACTTCACTGTCACTAAGTTTATATAGATATTATTTTTGCCTTCAGAAATGAATTTTTAAACATTTTTAAGTTTCATTTCTTACAAACACCTTTTCTGCTTGGGTTTAACATAGCTCTCTGGCAACAGAGTTACCAGTTACAGTGTCAGCTGTTCGCACAGCTAAAGCTGAAAGAAGACTGCAAGCCAAGCTGAAACAGGAGGGTCTGGAAATTCCTGAAGAAGAATTTGCTAAACTTACCCCAGCCCAGCAGAGGGCACTGCAAGCAGAAAAACGTTCAGCTTGGAGACAGGCAAGGTACAGCGTTGAAAATAAAGTATTCAGTGTTTTAATAGTTTGAGTAATATTTTTATATATAGTGCATTTATTTACTTTATGTATAAGTTTGAGATTGGTAAGGAAATGATAAATATAAATTTTTCAGTGGTGATCGATTTCTTACAAGAGCAAGCATGACTTTTATTGATTTCCAGATATTTCAGTTCATGTTTTTATTTATACGCTTTTTGTTTCCAAGTTTATTTTTCTTAAATTTAGTACTTTGGATCATTTAATTTTATGTAGAATTTACAAAATAGTTTTACATATTTCATGTTCAGAAAATTATGTTAATTGAAAACAGCCATAACATTTTTTTTTTTTTCATCAAATGATTGTAAAATTATTTTCTTCTAATTTAGGCTTCATCCTACATGGGAACCATTTTTTTAAGCCAGTGCTGCAATATGTTTCCTTTGTTATATAAGTTATTTTTCTCTTCATCTTACATTTAATTGATGAATCTTTCATTTTAAGGAGAGAAATCTCTCCAGAACAGTCAGCAAGTACATAGTAGTGAGATTGGTTTTGAAAGTAGTATATTAAGAGATGTGTTAATGTAAAAGACTGTGTAGGTCGTAATTCAGGCCTTCTATCAATAATGAGATTGAATTAGTAAGCACTTAACTTTTATTAAGTTTTTTAATACGACTTAAACTATACACCTGGAAAAAAGTTAAGCACCCCCAAATATTTTTCAGGATTGCTTATTGAAAATAAGGTTTAATTTTCATGATGTTGAGCAATGTTCATAATTTCAAACATAATTAAAAGGATGTGAGCGTTCAGGTGTGATATTTAAATCAGGCACATTTTTTTCCCCACGTTGCAACTTGCCTCCCTTCTTCACGT